ACACCCTTGACTTGGAACTCGCCCTCTTTCCTCAGGAACTCATTTTCCCCCGAAAAACTAAATTAACACCTAAACTTCCTTAAAATATCTCTCCTTTAACAACAGCCTGGGCACATAATTCCTTAATTGTGATTAAATCTCTTTAATTACAGCTCTCCTGCCCTCCAGCTCCCTGTCCACCACCATCCTGGCCATCCTGACGGCCGTGGCCGTGTTCGTGCTCATCCTGCTCACCTTCCTCCTGCACTTCTGCATCTGGACCCTGAAGGACAAATATTTCGCAGCTGAGGGTAAGGACACCCTCGGGGGCTCTCCAGGAGGCCGAGTGGGATAAATGAAGCTGGAATAAATAGAATTTATGTGGATTTACCAAGTGGTTTGGGGCAGGTCACGCCACAGGATAGCTGGGGTGGGAAGGGGATCATCCCTTCCAACCCCAATGACAGAGGGCAGGGTGAGATGGGATATTGGGGAAAAAATCCTTCCCTGGGAGGGTGGTGAGGCCCTGGAAGGATTCCCTATCCCTGGAAGTGTCCAAGGCCAGCTTGGAGCAACCTGCTCTAAGGGAAGGCGTGGGGCTGGTTTAAAATCCCTTCCAACCCCACTGACAGAAGGCAGGGTGAGATGGGATACTGGGACAAGAATCCTTCCCTGGGAGGGTGATGAAGCCCTGGAATGGATTGCCCAGAGGATTCCCCATCCCTGGAAGTGTCCAAGGCCAGCTTGGAGCAACCTGCTCTAACAGAAAGCACAGAGTGGGTTTAACATCCCTTCCAACCCCATTGACAAAGGGCAGGGTGAGATGGGATTTTGGGGAAAAAATCCTTCCCTGGGAGGGTGGTGAGGCCCTGGAATGGATTCCCCATCCCTGGAAGTGTCCAAGGCCAGCTTGAACACTTGCTCTTGGACCTGCTCTAAGGGAAGGCGTGGGGCGGGTCTAACATCCCTTCCAACCCAACCCGTGCCACGATTCCACCACTTCCATCCCTCCCTCTTTTTGGGAAGGTCTTTGGGACCCCCGAGGTGTGTGGAGACTGAGTTTGGATTTATTGACATTTCCCTGCTTTGAAAATAGGCATTAGAATAATAATAGTAATAATCATTACTATATAACATTATATAGTAATTAATATTAATTATTATTTAAACATCAACTTAACATTGATAATATTAAATTAATAATTTAAATTAATTCTTAATTAATATGGTTAATATTCAGTTAATTAAATTAAATACTGAACGGGTTTGGGGGTGGGTTGCTGAGTGTCACTCAAGTCACACCACAGGGTGGGAAGGGGATCATCCCGTCCAACCCCACTGACAGAGGGCAGGGTGAGATGGGATATCAGGAAATAAATCCTTCCCTGGGAGGGTGGTGAGGCCCTGGAATGGATTCCCTATCCCTGGAAGTGTCCAAGATCAGCTTGGAGCAACCTGCTCTAAGGGAAGGCACAGAGTGGGTTTAAAATCCCTTCCAACCCCACTGACAGAGGGCAGGGTGAGATGGGATACTGGGGAAAAAATCCTTCCCTGGGAGCGTGGTGATGTCCTGGAATGGATTCCCCATCCCTGGAAGTGTCCAAGGCCAGCTTGAACACTTGCTCTTGGACCTGCTCTAAGGGAAGGCACGGGGCAGGTCTAACATCCCTTCCAACCCAACCCGTGCCACGATTCCACCACTTCCATCCCTCCCTCTTTTTGGGAAGGTCTTTGGGGCCCCCCGAGGTGTGTGAGGAGCCTCGTGGGTGCAGTTGCTGTCCTTGTTGTCACTGCAGACGTGGACCATCACTTCCCTAGGCCGCCGGCGGCTCGGCAGCTCCCGGAGACCTCCAGCATCCAGTTCCCCGAGGAAGAGCACGGAGGAAAGACGGCCGAGGAGAAGCTTTCCATGCTGTCCCTCAGGGTCTCCAACGAGCTCTCCACCAGATAAACTGCTCTGGGGCGCCGTGGGAACGGGGAGCTGAGCTTTCCCCAAGGAACAGGAGGAAGGGGATGGGCTGTGAAGCATCGGGAGACCCGCAGCGAGGAGGAGGAGCAGGAGGAGGAGGACGAGGAGCGGCTTTTTGGGGCATTTTGGGGCTTTGCTCTCAACAAACCTGGCTTTGGGAAATGAAAATCCTACTGATTCATTCCTGAGGGCGCTCTCCCAGCTTTTCCCTTGTCCAGAGTGATGCCCACGGTAAGGGAACAGGGCACAGGGAGAAGGAATATTCTTATTCCCTCATTTATCCCCGAGCTGCTTTTCCCTCCTGCCAAACCCTCCTGGTGTTCCTCTGCCCCCATTCCATCCTCTCCTCTGCCATCCCAGAAGAAGGTGCTGCTCAGGCCCAGTTCTCAGGGCACAGAGGTTCCCTTGGGAAGCCACAGAATTTGCAGGGAAACCAGGGATTAAAAAAAAAAAGGGAGTAATTCTTGTCCCGTCCCTCAGCAATCCCTGTGCCTGGAATATTGGCTCCCAAAAGGGACACTTCCCAACACCTCAAAGGAGGATCAACCTGCCTAGAGGAAGACATTGGCTTGAATGAGTTTATAGAGCAGGAAAAAGACAGTGGAAAACAGGAAAAAGCCCAACATTGATGGGTTTTTTTCCCCCCTGCCCCTGAAGAAAAAGAACAAAAGCTTTTTTTTTTAATCTTACCTTAGTGCTCCTCCAGTTTCCTGGAGCTGGAAATGAATTATTCTGCCCGAATTTCGAGGGGCAGCTGGAGCTGGCTGCTTTCTGACACTGATTTCAAACAAGGCTCTACCCTATGGCTTCAAATAGTTGAGTCTTTTTTAAATACAATTATTTTTTTGTGCTGTGTGACTGCATTCAAAGCCCTTTTTGCCTTCTGGTGGAAGCTGCTTGGGGTTGGACACTACTGACAGAATCAGCTCGAGGCAAAAACGACTCTTTTGAGTTTCAAAAGTGACTTTTCACTTGCCAAAATAACTTTTCAGCCTCCACAGGGGGGGTATAAATCCTTCCCAGCACAGCCCCAGCATCAGCTCCCTCCTTAGAGATCCCAGAAACAGGATTTAATCCTAAATTAAACCCTGCCAGATAAAGGAGTTGGTGTTAATCACCCCAGAGGGGATTATTCCAGGTAGGAATGACAGGCAGAGAATCCTAAAACCTGGGCCAGGTTGTTATCCCAGCCAGCTCAGAGGGACTGGATCACTCTTGGATCCAGGGAATTATGAACCAGTTTGGGCTGGAAGGGACCTGAAAAATCATCTCATTCCACTGAGGTGACTCAGGGAATCCAGTCCACAACTCATTTATGGCAGAGAGGAAGAGCTAATTAGTTAAAATTCAGCTTGTCCATCACGATCCTGAGGAATTCCCGGCTCTCCAACATTCCTGCACTGCCACATCTCCTGGAATTCTTTAGGAATCTCATCCTGCCTCCCAGCTCCTTTCCAGACACTCTCAGCTGGCCTTTCCTGACCTTTCCCCCGAGGAGGGCTTAGAAATCCTGAATAAAAGATTCATTTTATCCCTCATGAGCATGGTTTTATTGCTGAATATTCCCTTATTGCTGAATATTCCATTGCTGAATATTCCCTTATTGTTGAATATGCCATTGCTGAATATTCCCTTATTGTTGAATATTCCCTTATTGTTGAATATTCCCTTATTGTTGAATATTCCCTTATTGCTGAATATTCCCTTATTGCTGAATATTCCATTCCTGAATATTCCCTTATTGCTGAATATTCCATTCCTGAATATTCCCTTATTGCTGAATATTCTCTTATTGCTGAATATTCCCTTATTGCTGAGTATTCCCTAATTGCTGAATATTCCCTAATTGCTGAATATTCCCTAATTGCTGAATATTCCCTAATTGCTGAATATTCCCTAATTGCTGAATATTCCCTAATTGCTGAATATTCCCCTATTGCTGAATATTCCCTTATTGCTGAATATTCCCTTATTGCTGAATATTCCATTGCTGAATATTCCATTGCTGAATATTCTCTTATTGCTGAATATTCCCTTATTGCTGAATATTCCTTTATTGCTGAATATTCCTTTATTGCTGAATATTCCTTTATTGCTGAATATTCCATTGCTGAATATTCCATTGCTGAATATTCCCTTATTGCTGGAATATTTCATAAGTAAAATTTCATTTTATTTTATTCCTGACAAATTTTATTTTATTTTATTTCTGGCAAATTTTATTTTATTTTATTCCTGACAAATTTTATTTTATTTTATTCCTGTCAAATTTCATTTTACTTTATTCCTGACAAATTGTATTTTATTTTATTCCTGACAAATTTGATTTAATTTTATTCCTGGCAATTTTTATTTTATTTTATTCCTGCCAAATTTGCAACCAAATTCTTTTTTTAATTGAATTTTCAACTGAATTATTTTGTCACTGAATTTTCAACCAAATTCTTTTGTCACTGAATTTGACACTAAATCTTTTTTTTTATTTAATTTTCAACTGAATTCTTTTGTCATTGAATTTGACACTGAATTCTTTTGTCTCTGAATTTTCAACCAAACTTTTTTTTAGTGAATTTTCAACCGAATTCTTTTATCACTGAATTTTCAACCCAATTCTTTTTTTTAATTGAATTTGCAACCAAATCCTTTTGTCACTGAATTTTCAACTAAATTTTTTTTTTATTGAATTTTCAACCCAATTCTTCTGTCATTGAATTTTCAACCAAATTCTTTTTTTTAATCGAATTTTCAACCAAATCCCTTTGTCACTGAATTTGCAACCAAATTGGTTTTTTACTGAATTTGCAACCGAATTCTTTTGTCACTGAATTTGACATTGCATCTTTTTTTATCGAATTTGCAACAGAATTCTTTTGTCACCGAATTCTTTTGTCACCGAATTTTCACCCCAACCCTCTCAGCACTTGCACTTCTTTCCCTTCCTGCCTCCCCCTCTCTCATTTCCTGCCCGTTCCCTCCGCCGGCTTTTCAAGCTCCCGCCACCAAACGAGCAGGAAAAAGCGGCTACCAAAGTGTTTCCTGCAGAGAAACAGCAAATTTTGGGTTAAGAAACCCTCCAAGGGCGTGAGGAATAAATTCTGAGTGCCCAGGGGAAGCCTGGCTGAGGTTCACGAGGCTTTTTGGGGGCTTTGAGGGGTCAGTGGAGATAGAAACAGGCTAAGCTGGGCCTGATTATTCCGTGGAAATTCAGATTTTTCCCGCCCTACCTGGAAGAGCAGTTCCACTTTCTGCTTGCTGCTCGTTGCCCCAAAGGAAAGGAAAGCTCGTGGCACCAAAGGAAAGCTCCTGGCTCAGAACTGAGAGCTTGGAAAGAGTGTTTCAGTTTCCCTCAGAAAGAACAATATTTATTGTGCCCTTGCCCTGATGTTTGACTCAGGTGGTGGCTGAATTTTCAGCTCAAATCGCAGAGTTTAGGGGGTTTTGTGGCGGTTGGAGACCCCCAAAAATCCGATTTCCAAGGCCAAGCCCCCCTCCCACAACTCACCCCAGCAGGAGAGGGGTTTTCCAGGCACAGCAAAAGACTCAATATGGGGGGGAAGGGAATTATATTTCAATTATTCCCCAAATCATCTCACCTCTAGGCCCTCCGGCTCCCAGGGGGGGCAATTTCAAACCAAGACAAGTTGTAAAGTCCTGGTTTAAACTGCAGGTCGATCTGGCCTGGAGGGTAAAATAAAGAGGGTTCTCTTTCAAATTGTTGGCATTCGGTGAAATACTCAAAAGCTTTTGGTTTTCTCAAATCTCTTTTCAAAGGAGAAAACAAAATCTCCCTGAAAAACACCCCGAAGGTTTTAGAGGCGAAGCAAAAGTTAGAAACGGAGAGAATTAAGAAATTCGACGTTTCATTCAACTTAATTGTTCAAACAACTGTTTAACGTTTTAAAGAGTTAAAAGAGTTTGACGTTTTAAAGAGTTAAAACGTGATCTGGAGGATCCCTGAGGCTGGAAAAGCCCTCCAAGATCGAGTCCAGCCATCAATCTCACCACCCCAGTGCCACATCCAGGTGTTTTTGGAAGCCCCCCGTGTCCAACACATCGATTTTTTTTTCCCCTTTTTTTTCCTCTCGGACACCCGGGAGAGGAAAAACCCGCTTTGCAGGCGCCAACAGAGGGCACCGAAGTTCCACACGTTTTTCTCGGCGAGCTCCTTCTTCTCCCTAAAATGTTCTTTTTTTCCTCTTCAAAGCTGGCCCCCGAACCTTCCGTGTGCAGGAAATGCAGGACTGAGCCAGGGCTTTGTTCTGCTGCTGAGGGAAAGGGAAAAAAAAAGAGAAACGACCCACCTTTAGTTCATTTAATTGTCTTTTAGTTCATTGAATTGGGTGAGTCTTTGCTGGAGCTCACGGAGGGGGGAACTAAACATCCCACTGGGGTCACAGGGAAGGAGTAACTTGAATTAAAAGTAGCTTGTATTAAAAGTAACTTGAATTAAATCCCATTCAAGTTACTGTGTAATAGTTAGAAAAAAATGGCCCAACTTTTTCTTAAACTCTGCAGCCCAAATGTTTCCTGTGTTCCAGTGGCCAGTTTTCTACAATCCAGGTAAGTGTGCACCTTTTCCAGTTTACTGTAGTCTCATTTTGTGTAGCTTCACATTTCCACTATAAATATACTCTTTTTTTTTTTTTGTCTCCTAGGCTGTTGATTAGCTTCCACACTTTTACAAGTTGCTGAGGATTTTTGGGGAGTTTGTTTTTGGCTTCTTTGGTTGTTTTGGTTCTGTGTTTTTTTTCTTTTTTTTTTTTGGTGGTGGTAAATTAAATGCATTTAGATCTCTGTCTTTCATGGAAATTCATGGTTCCCAGTTCTTTAATGGTTCCCATGATGATATCTGGAGTCCTTTCTGTGCACAAATATCTGTGCCTGGTCTGTGTTACCTCCAAATTTCACCAACACTGTGTTTTAGACTTCCTGATCTAAAACACAGTGCCTAAAACTAGTTAAGTCTTTTAGACTAAAACAGT